TTCAAGTTTCGCATAAACTACCTCCCTTCAGCGGAATTGACCATGCTATTCACTTGGTTGATGGCTCAAAACCAGTGAATATGAAGCCCTATCGCTATGCTTACCACCAAAATTCAGAAATCGAGAAAGTTTTTGATTTGTTGTCCGCAGGCTTTATACAGCATTCCCAAAGCTCGTTTTCCTCTCCAATTTTATTGGTCTGCAAACAAGATAATTCATAGCGGATGTGCATTGACTATAGGGCCTTGAATGCAGCTACCGTTAAGGATAGGTTCCCTATTCCTACTATGGATGAACTCCTTGATGAGTTGGGATGGGCCATGGTGTTTAGTAAATTGGATTTGCGTGTTGGGTACCATCAAATCTGAGTTATGCCCCAAGACATTCTGAAGACAGCATTCAGAACTCATGAGGGCCACTATGAGTTCTTAGTCATGCCATTTGGGTTGACTAATGCTCCTGCTACTTTTCAAGCAACAATGAACCACCTGTTTAAACCTTATCTCCGCCGATTCATAATTGTGTTCTTCGACGACATCCTGGTGTTTAGTAGATCCATGGAAGAACATGTAGAGCATTTGAAGATTGCCTTTGAGCACCTGCAATTGCATTAGTTTTTTGTGAAGCTGTCCAAGTGCTCGTTTAGTGTTACGTCCATTGAGTATTTAGGCCATGTAGTCTTGGATCTAGGGGTGCATGCTGATCCAAAGAAGATTAAAGCCATGGTTGAGTGGCATGTCCCTTGCAATGTGAAGCAGTTCCACGCATTCCTTGGGTTAACAGGGTACTACCGTAGGTTTGTGAGAAATTACGCAACCTTGGATGCCCCATTGACAGACTTATTGAAGACTGTTGATAAGTTTCATTGGAATGAGGACACAAAACAAGCTTTTCTCTGCCTCAAAGAACCTATGATCCATACTCCGGTATGAATCCTACCTGATTTCAATTCATCTTTTGTAATTAAAACTGATGCTTTGAATAGTGAGGTAGGAGCTGTGTTGTTGCAACGGGAACGTCCCTTAGCTTTTTTTAGCAAGAAATTGGGAAAAAGAATGGCAAATGCTTCAGCCTATGTTAGAAAGCTTTATGCCGTTACTGTTGCTGTGAAGAAATGGAGGCAATATTTGCTCGGGTCTTCCTTTGTAATTATGACTGATCAAAGGAGTATTAAGGAACTGATGAGCCAAACGATTCAAACAATTGAGCAGCAAAAATATCTCTGTAAGCTACTTGGGTGTGATTTTAAAATTGAATATAAGGTTGGCATTAGTAATGTAGTGGTTGACGCTCTATCACGCATGTATGAAGGCGGTACTATTAATGTTCTGGTTTTGGAACCTGCCTTTAGTGTGTTAAATGAGGTTAAGAAGCAAAATCTAGAAGACCCTTACTTGTTGCAGTGTCATCAGAAGTTAACAATTGACCCTGGGGTTGATAAGAATTTATATGCTAAGGATGAAATTCTCTTATATAAAAATAGGTTTTTGTTGAGTTCCAATTCTTCTCTAATTCCTGCTTTAACTCATGAGGCTTATGCTACTCATGTAGGGGGTCATGCTGGGGTTCTTTTCACTTTTTTGAGGCTCTTTGCAACATTTTATTGGAGCTCTATGAGGAAAGACGTCAAGGAGTATGTGAGTAAATGTCTGGTGTGGCAGCAAGTTAAGTATGAAACTTCCAAGCCATGTGGGCTATTGCAACCCTTACATGTTCCAGAAGGCATTTTTGAAGATCTATCCATGGATTTCATCGTGGGTTTACCCTCTTCTAATGGATATACTACTATTTTGGTAATTGTAGATAGGCTTTCCAAATTTGTTTACTTTGGGAAACTACCTTGTTCATTTATAGCAGCCATTGTTGCTAAACTTTTCTGTTATTTAGTGGTTGTTGTCCACGGGTTCCCTTGTTCCATAGTCACTGATAGGGACCCCATTTTTGTAAGTCAGCTTTGGTCCCAATTGTTCAAACTCAGTGGAACAACCTTGCACACTAGCAAAACATATCACCCTCGGTCCGATGGGAAAACTGAAGTGACTAATCGCTGTTTGGAACAGTATCTTTGCGCCTTCTGTCATGCGAAACCACAACGCTGGTCAGATTTCATAGGGTGGGATCAATTCCATTACAATTCTAATCTTCATTCTAGCATTGGCATGAGTCCTCATCAAGCAGTTTTTGGAAAGTGTCCATGGATGATCCCTCATAACCCTCGCGGGTTAGTTAAGGTTGAAGCGGTGGAATCCTTGTTGGTGCAGCGTGATGAAGTTCTTGCTCGCTTTAAGATGCATTTGTCTCAAGCTTGTAATAGGATGAACATGCAATGTGACAGACATCGTAGAGAGCGCTCCTTTTAGGAAGGTGATCTTGTTTGGGTAAAACTACAGCCTTATAGGCAGATTTCTGTGGAAAAAGAGAGCTAACCATAAACTTGCCAAATGTTTCTTTGGACCTTATCTCGTTGTCAAGAAGTTGGGGGAGGTTGCTTACCTATTATAGTTACCTGAACACTGCCAAATACATCCTACGTTCCATGTTTCCTTGTTGAAACCATAGAAAAGAGATTCTAATGCTCAACCTCAACCACTTCCTCTGTTAGCGGTGGATAATAAACCACTCCAAGAACCCTTGGCAGTGTTGTCTACTAGGGAGATTCCAGTGAGAGGTGTTTCTCAACGTCAGTTCCTTATCCAATGGGCTCATACAGTACCAGAGGATGCTACATGGGAGTTTGCAAGTTTCTCAAACGTTGTTATCCTACTCTAGACCTTGAGGACAAGGTCAGTCTTGAAGAAGGGGAGAATGTTACATGAAGGGTTTCTACTAAGGAGAGGAAGCACTCAACATTGCTTAAAGACTTTGTGGCATAAAAGCCTTGCCACGTGGGCATCACGAGGGCTGTCACGTAAGAGTAATAATAAGGGGATTGTTATGTTAGCTACAACTGTAACTATTGTAGGGAAAAAGGTATACGATATATATAGGAATTAACAGTGTATTTTAAAGCATCTGAATAATAAACTTCTTGTCTTAGTTTTCTTGAATTCATTCTCTGTTTTAGTTCTCTCTGTTAGGTTGTAACCTAACAGACAATCTCGAGACGGAAAAAAAAATTAATGTTTCTAAATCCTTAATTTTAAATATTAAATTGAGATAGGCTTTAGCATATTGACATGCATTAGAGTTGTTGCCTGTAAGCACTATATCAACATCAAAAATATATTTATCATACACTAGTTGAGCTCAATGGCCGATGAATACAAATGAAAAGGAAGAAGAGATTGAGATAAAAAAAATACAAAATTCATTTATCTTTAGTTAGAATTCGTTTCAAGTGCTTATCTTCTTATTCATTCTGTCACAGCTCCTCACAACTTCAGAATGCACTGTTTCATTAAATGCTTCAGTGTTATATATAGTATTGCTACAACTTTGACTTGCATAAAAAATTTCATAGATAGTTAATTGCTTTAGAATTAAAATTAACTCAAATACAAACACTTGACATATTTTGCATTCAAAACACACAAAGATAATATTCATGCAATTATCTCATGATTATGAAGGAATTATAAACAATATTAGGCATCAAATCATCAACATTAAGCCCAAAATTAACTCTCCATGGAAAGTTAACATTTATGCACCCAATCAATGTGATCATTGGTATGAATGATATTCACAACAATTGGCTTGGTTGATACAAATAGACACCTCCACGATCTTTATCCAGACCAATCTTAATAGTTAACCATGTATTATAACTGTTAATTTTGTGTATTTAATGGTTATGGTTTATTTGGTCACACTCATTAATTAATTATTAATTTTCAATGAATCATAACCGTTAGATTCATGAAAATCAACAGTCACACCAAATCTTAACCGTTGATTTCCGTAAATCTAATGATTATAATTTATTGGATAATTATTATTAATTAATTATTAATTTTCAAAACATTATAACCGTCAAATTGACGAAAATCAACGGTTAATATTTGATATCAAATTTTTTAGTTTCACATAAGTATCAAATGATCCTTTCTCTCTCTCTCTCTATCTCTCTCTCTCTCTATATATATATATATATATATATATATATATAAAAGGTAAATATTTCTACAGTCACTTTAGATAAGGTTATCTACAGCTACCCTTTATAACTATGTACTACCGATAGTACTTAGTTATAATATTAAAGTTACTTTTTTCTCTCTCTCCACATCAGCTCTGAAAAATGACTGAAAGGAGAGAAAAAAAGCAACTTTAATGTTATAACTATGTACTACCAGTAATACATAGTTATAAAGGGTAGCTGTAGATAACCATATCTAAAGTAACTGTAAAAATATTTATTTATATATATATATATATAAATATTTCTCAAGTTGCTTGAGATATATTTATCTCCTGTCACCCCAAAACTATGTAATTTTGTTTATTTATTTTCTTATATTAATTGATTTACCTTTGAATGGTTATGATTCTGTAACGCCCCGTCTGCAGCCGGTTAATTCACATTCATATGATAGTAAGCGCAACATGCTCAACTTAATTAATGTGGAAGCTAACTAAATTTTCTCTCTCTTTTTCCTTATGTATTGCAAACTTTTTCACTTCCATGGCTAAAGTAAAACGGACAACATTTCGTCTATATTTTGGACCACTGGGGATAATTTCCACCAAGATAATTTCAACCTGCTTGACAATATAATATAATTCAGGCATACCACAACATAGATAAAACATATTGCCCAGCCATCCATGGCCTAGGCTATCTCATAATCATACTGTCTCAAAATAATGTACATGATGTTACTTATATAATTACATCAAATAAACAAAAGAGATCCAATTAAATTAGTAACATAGATCTGAGCATGCATCACTAACAACATATACAGGCTATCGACATGGCATAGACATCTCCTATGCTCTCAAAAAATACATGCCATATACAACTCAAAATAAAGTATGTCAGGTACAAATCTAAATATCCACAAGACCCTGACAATCATGTCAAGTAGTGTCTCTCATCTGGCGTCTTGTCACACGATGCCTCAGCACCATTAGCTCCTGTACCTGAAATGGTGATCCCCATAACGCGGGGTGAGATAATATAATTATCTCAGTAAATTAGGGACCCTTGGAGGGCTCATACACCCTTAAGCTCAGTTATGGTAAAAAAATTTATAAAAATCCATGCATGCATCAGAATATGTATGACAATCCAGTGTGCAAATAATAAATCCTACTGGCCAGAGAATATAACAAATATGCATTAGGCAAGGAAACACCGTCTTGCAACATATCGTATGAGGAAACACCGTCTCATACTATGCATAAGGAAACACCATCTTATGCCTCATATAACACCTCACAATTCTAAATTAAGTAATTAATACATTGACTGAATAATTAAGTGATGGATTAGTGAAAATCCTAAAGATTAGGCCAGAATACAAAGAAAGGGCAAAACAGTAAATTGCCAACACACAACCCTAGGAAGATAAAAATTGAGTAGAAGGTCTCAGATGGTAAAAATAACCCTGGAAATGGATTCAGAACGAAAAATTGAGTGGACAGGCAAGTTTCAGAAAAATCAATGAATAGTGTTTTTCGCGGGTAAAAATACTGCGGCACGATTGCACCGTAAAACGTGCCGATGGAGTTTTGAGCTCTAGGTTTCAAATATGAGTTATAATGGTTTACTGAGTTAAGAAATATGATTTTTGATAAAATCTGATGGAATTAAGTCAGTTTGGGGAAGCGTGCCAACGGCGCGCGCAATAACTTAAAACAGTGTTTTCTGCGAATGACCGAAAAATTCTGGATTCATCTGATCAAGTATAATTAAGGGAGAATGGTTAATGTTAAAAAATAGAGTTTCTAAATAGTTTTTGAATTTATGAACGTTTAGTGGAATCGGAAGGGAATTCAAATGAGTTTGAAATCGCGTGAGGTGGCGGTGGGACCCACCCCACTTAAACCACTTAAGCCACATCTCCCTACCACTATTCACCATCACTTTCCCTTCCCTTTTTCTTGCCAAAACTGTGACCCCCCCTCCCCTTTTAGACATTTTAGGTTCAAATTTTCATTCCTTGATAAATCCTTCATTTCTCAACCGAATCGAGTGATTTTTGTGTTGAAATTTGTTGAAAACAACCTTCCAAACACATTGGTAGTATCCATTAACCTTGAAACCCTCTCATTGGTGAGTTATTTCCCAAAGTCAGCTGCGATTTTCTTGGAAAAAATGGAGTTTCATGGAGTCATTTGAGCTCCCATTGCTCGGAGGAGTCTTGGGTTAGCATATAGCCTTGATTGTGAGTGTATTTCCATCCAATTTACATGGTTTGATTGTAGTTTATTTTCATGAACCCTACACCTTAATTTCGTGATTGGTGATGTTAGAGAGCTCAATTGGAAAATGTGTATTAGATGATAATGCCTTAGAATGATGTATTAAAGCTAGAATTGCAATGAAAAGTTTAGGTGAAAAGTGTTGATTTTTAACTTAGAGAAATTTTGATGGTTATGACTTGGATTTGGGAATTGTGTTAGGAGTGTGTTGATGAGTTGTTGTATGATTGAATGATGATATTATAGGATTATATGAGGTGTGGAGTGGTTAAAATTGATTGAAAATCCCTTGGAGTACCATAGGTTGCAATTCGGCCATTAAGTGAAAAAGAGGGGAATTGATGTTGAAAAATTATTTGGATGATGTTTTGTGTAATTATATGGTGATTAGATAGGTTGTGTAGTGGTTGGAAAGTGTTAGAATCAATGGAAAATAATAACTTGTGTTTAGGGACATAAATGAACCTAGAGTGAATTATTTAGCAAAACGATAAGTAAAAGACGTAAAACGGAACTTGAATTGGCCTCTTGGCAACCTAAGGAAGCATAATAAAATGAGAAAGAAATTTTAGAAAAATAAATCCTAAAATAACACTACAAGGGCCGAACCATCATGGTGATGGGAAGGATTTTTGTGTTTTTTCGCATTTTGACGTAAATTGACGTATACTGACGGCTGTATATGGTTGTATAGGTTGCCGTACGTCGACTTGAATCCTGAACAGTGAAACAGTGAATTGCCCTTGGTCCTGGAACAAGTGGATTGAGGTAAGTGATTGTATTATGCATGTGAAATTGAGAATTGACATGCATTTTGTGAACTTGAGTAAGTGGGAACGTCCTATGTGTAGGCGTTCTGTTGAGAAGCAGACTTGGAACTTAAGCTGCTGCGGAGCTAAGTGAGAAAACTATTTGAGGTAACCTCTTGGTACTGGGGCTTGTTCCCCTTTTCTGTTCCACCTTGTCAATTGATGGCAACGGTAGGAAGTGTGTATGAGTAGTGTAGAATAGCATTGGCATGCATGCATATATCACAATGGGTACTTATGTACCGAGTCTCTGGCCAGTAGACTAGTTTTAGCCTGCGGGCAGTGCAGACTTCCACTGGATAGGAAGGACTTTAGGGCTATGTTAGAGTTAGAGTTATGTTAAAGTATATGTTGTAAATGTAAAAGAGATGCATGATGTACCAGGATGGAAGGACTTTAGGGCTATGTTAGAGTTATGATTATATGCTTATATTGTGAAATTACATGTAAAGGGGACCTTTGTGATTGAAACAAGCAAGGATTATAATGTGAGTTATATAGTATAATCTGTGTAATAAATATAAACTGGATTGGGTTGTAAGTGCCCCAAGGCGTTGTTGGTACTTGTGTGTGCCACCCATTGGATTATTACTGTATTATTATGTGATCATTAGGTGCATTTGAGGCATAAATGAGCTTGTACAAATTTGGGGATTTAAGGAAAAACAAAGGAAACTCTGGCAAATTTTCTGTAGAATTGGCATATTTACGTGAACTTCGGGAGAGCATATCTCCCTCCATAGAGGTTTGATAGGGACGTACTATACGCCATTTTGAAGTTTGAGATGTCCCCTATATGGTGTTAAAATATGAGTCAGTTCTGGGTTGTACGCAGCCCTGTGGAATTTATTGAATTCGGACTGTCCAGGGACCTCTGATGCAGGGGCTGTTCTGGCCAGTTTTTGGGAATTTGATTCCCGCTTCGCCTCTTAGTCAAATTGAACGTGTGATACACTAAAATGAAATTTGAGATGTCTAGTTTGTAGGATAAAAATTTGAGAGAAATTGGATGAGTGGATTGTGTGCAGTAATTCGATAAGTGTGAGTGGTTTTAAGCTGTTTTGGGGTTGGTTGGTTGTTTTGCTTGTCCAACTTCAAACGGTGATAACCAGAGCAAATGAGCTCCGATTAAAGCGTGTGATAGCTTATTAGAAAGGGAATTAAGTAAGAAAAAAATATAATCTAAGAAGAAGGTCTGGTTGTGAGCGGTGTGTTCGCAGAAAATTAGTTAGTGAACCATGTTCAAGGAAGTAAAAACGTAAAAGTTAGTAATTGGCTAAGTGGGTTTATGGGAACCCCTTAGTAACTTATAATAAGTAAAGTAAGAAGTAAAAGTAGTTAAAGTAATTATTCAGCAATAGTTTTCAGTTATGGTCACAACTTTTAATTATTACGCTTTTATTGTTTTAAATGCTCGCGTAATAATCAGAAAAAGTTTATTCGTATTTTTTATAAATTTATTGCTGTGATTGTAACTGCGCTTAATATCATATTAATGTTAACAATATCGGTGTACAACGGGCTGTTACACCTCACACAAGGAAACACCATCTTGTGTAGCACACAAACATACATACATATACATGCGACATATAACAAATTATTTTCAACATATCATATCAAACAGACACCCTCCCTTGGAGTTTGGTGGAACAAACGGGGGATTAACTCCAAGGACTAAAAGCTTACCTGTCAAACACTGTCCTCCAATGCACTTTTTGTATCCAAGGGGTCACAACCACAATCTTTCACAATATCACAACCTATTCCAAATACGCGAAGACAATCAGTACATATATACTAGTCTACCACATTCAATATTCCAGACTACAACAATGAACTATAACAACCAAAGAGGGATAAAGCAATGGATTTAGTGAAGTAGGGATGCATAGGGAGTAAAATACGATGAAGCTGGAATGGTCAATGCCAAAGCCACGCAACATCCGACTTATTGGCCTCGGCAAATAGCCTACGGGTTCTCTTATAAGGAAGTGTTCCCAGAACATCAACCAAGGTACCCACCACCAATACACCCGAGACATTCCTAGAGTGCTCCTCAACGGATAACAACTCCATGACCCCAGGTCAACTGGAACTTCCTCATAGAGACCTATCCAGTGGAAGCCCGTAAAGCCTGGAAGCAACTATCTACTAACCAAAGACACGGTACATCCTATGTACCCAATATATATATACTCATGCATGAGCATGTTATAACACATCATTAATATACACCTCTAACCACTATCCCCAAGGGCATGGTGGAGCACAAACGGGGATTATCCCCAGTACCAAAGGATTACCTTGTTGAAGCCCCTTCCCTAGGTAACTCCAATGTAAGGTACAACCGAGCTTGGTCCCACCAGAAATGCCTACACACAAGACATTCCCATATCAATTATAACCAAATAAAACCCTACATGTGGCTATTCAAGTATTCATGCAATTTACCATAAGCACTTACCACAATCTTCTTGGTCAAGGACCAAAGGCAATCTACCGAGCTCACTGCTCAAAGCTCACGTCCGTGGGAGGCAACCTACAATGATCAGACAACGATCATCAACACAATGATGCAACCAAATCAAAATACAAAGCACTAAACTCCCACACACACATACACACCCCTAGGTTCGACCACAATGGCCAAAAATGCAAGGTCACGTTGTTAATTTTATTTCAAGGTTCCAATAGCTTTGTAAACTTACCACAACACCAAATCAAGTCCTTAATCCTATTCAATTACCATTCAACACCAACTTTTCCAATTTTCCTCTTTTAGGCCAATCCAACACTTAGGCACATCCAAGGGTTTCAATTCCAATCCATATGCATCAAACCAACATACAACTATTTAAACTTAGCTCACAATCACACAACACCAATTACATGATTTTTACATCA